ATGAAGGGCTCTGATCCAGAGCACTAGGCTAGTGGCCAACCAGGCTTACCCAGAAAACCCCAGGGAGAATGTCTTCTGCCACTGATAAGAGGTGCTTTTTTCATGTTGACCACGGCCACGGATCACTATGATGCTGTCCTGGTTCACATACACCTGTACTTCAGGAGTCTTGTAGCTCACCTGGAGCCAGGAAAATGTGTCTAGAAAGTCCTTATAATGGCCCTTCACCTCAATTCCTAGAAACCCATGGGATTAGAGAGGTTAACAGCAGGACCAGGAACAGTAACACATCACCTCCTTTGGGAAGTCCAGTCTTCTCAGCTAGCCTCCTTCCAGTAAGACTTTCTTAATGAATTCATTCTACCTGGTTCAGACCCTGCTTGGACTTCTCAACAGTCTGATTGGTCCTTTTGGCTCAAGTCTTTCCCCTCTGCAATCCAACTTTCATACATCTACGTGGAACAATGGATAGAACACAGAACATGGAGCCCGGAAGACCTGAGTTAAAATTCTGCCTCAGACACTGACTGGTATGTGACCTTGGACAAGTCACTTAACCAGCCTGTGCCTCAATTTCCTCATCTATAGAATGGAGCTAATAATAGCACCTACTTGACATTGTCAGGATCATTTGAGTTAACGGAAGTAAAGCACTTTGCACACCAAAAAGCATTATAAAAATGCTGTTATTATAATTATTGTTATTATATTACATATAATACTATATATTATACATTATATAGCTAACAAACTAATTTTCCTAAAGTACAAATCTGACCTTGTCACTGGCCTATGTAATAAATGCCAATGGCTTCCTATTGCCTCTGGGATCAAATAAAGATTGCTCCATTTGGCATTTAAAGCCTTTCACAATGTGACCCTATTTTTCTTTTCAAACTTATTGTACATTATTCTCCTTTCTCTCTACTGTGGTCCAGCTAAAGTGTCCTTTTTTGCTGTTACATACTCAGCACGATGTATCCTGTCTTCTTGCATTTCCATTGGCTACCTCCCTCGCCTGGAATGCATTCCTTCCTCACCTCTGTCTCTCAGAATCCCCAGTTTCCTTCAAGATTCCTGGATTGCCCAGGAATCGGGTGCCATGGGAGCTTTCCTGATCCCCACAGTTGATAGTGTCTTAACTCCCTAATTACTTTGTATCTACTTTGTTAAACAAAATATAGGTCCGTGACACCTCTCCCAGTTATATTGCAGGATCTGTGATGACGAGGCTATTTTCACTTCTGTCTTTGTATCCCCAGCACCTAGCAGAGTCCCTGGTATATAGTTATACCTTAATAAATACTTGTTAATTGATTGATTAGAACCTGGTGGGATTAACTCCACCCAGCCTTGACTAGTCCTTCTAACTCTGAACTCCCTCAACTCTGACAAGCTCCATCTACACTCTCAAGCTAGAATCATCAAACTTTTCCTGTATGTGTGTCTTCTTTCCTCAGTAGACAAGGGGCTCCTTCATTGAAGTGTGAGGATAGTTTCGTAAGTCAGAAGGTCCTTCCTGAGTGACCTTGTGTTCTCAGTCCTTTGTTAAACCATGTTGGTGGAAGAGATAGAGGAGAAATAGACCCTAGCCCTCTCCTATGGGAACTCCCAGTCTGAGAGAGACAAAAGGAACAATTCCGGACCTTAGCCTCCGGAAGCTCCTGGTCTGAGAGAGACAGAGGAGGAGCAGACTTCAAGTCCTATACTTGAACTAACTGTCTAGGGGAGACAGGACTCAATTACAGGGAACAAAAAAAAAGAATAGCACAAGATTTTTCAATGAGATGAGAGATTATGCACAACATTGATTCAGTGGGGAGGATTTGGTAAAAAGTAAATAAATAAATAAAAGTATAGCAGCGTGTGTGTGTGTGTGTGTGTGTGTGTGTGTGTGTGTGTTGGGGGGGCAGTTACCTTGTACTGGATCAGAGATCAGACTTAGTGGCCTGAAAGGTGATCCTTTGACATCCACACACAAAATCTCTTTCTGTTTTTTTCGTAGAAACAGTGACAAAATGAAATGAGGAGCCCTCTCCATTGACTTCAAAGATTCTTCCAGAGGAACAGGGATAGGAGGTGTTGTAATCCCCGCTGACAGTGGTGTAGAGGTCCCTGGAACAGAAATAATGATGAAAACAACTCAGATTTATGTAGATTAAGTATACAAAACACTGGCCACAACAACTCTGTGAGATTGGAAGATATTAACCAGAGCTATGATGCTATTGGTATAGAGAACTCCCAGCTAAGGAAATTCCCTCCACCAATGTAGGTTGGCACCTTCTCTACAAATTTTAATCTTGGAGAGTTGTGCAGAGCAGTGAGAGGTCAAGATGCTTTCCCAGGATCTGTATTTGTCAGAGATAGGACTTGAATGCAGGCCTTTGAAATTTTTAGATCAGCTCTCTATTCACTATGCCACTTTGCCCCTCTGTGAGAGAGCTGGAACACATATCATTATCTCTATTTTATGGATGAGGAAACAGAGCCTCAGAGCGGTTAAATGATTTGTCAAAAGTCATACACTAGAACTAGGTTTTGAATCAGATCCTACGATTCTAAGATTGGCCTTTCTATCAAACCATACAATTCACTCTGGTCAGAATCCTGTCTCCACTCAGGCCAGGGGCAGAGTGGAGCAAAAGTGGCTGAAAAGTTTGTCTCCTATATGAGATATGAGCCTCTTTGCATCAAGAGGAAGAAAATCATGATTGGTTAATCAAGCAAGCCAATCATGTTTCCGGTATCTTTAAATAACTGGAAGAATTTCAACAGTGGACCAGTCAAGCAGTGAAAAAACCAAATAGTAAAGGCCTCCAGGATAAAGGACAACTAGAGGAGGCAGACATTTCCACCTCCTTCCTGGATCGTCCAGGAATCATTCTATTTCCTATCACCAATCCCAATGATGAGGCCCAAGGTTTGTCCCTGTCAGGTACTCTACCTGGTGAGACATCTTCTAAAGGAGCCAACATGGACCCTAGGGAAAGAAGAAGGGATAAGAGCCACTTACATGTATATTATATTACACATAATACATATCATACATTATACATATGTATATAGCCCAGCAGTGAAGCAATCAAGTCGTGGAGGACTCCGGGATCGAGAGCCTCTGGTGGAAGTAGACACATAACACCCGTGCCAGAGATCAGCAAGGGATTGAGGGAAGTGAGCCCAGAGGGAGTTTTACACACTACCCCTCTCCTCCATTGGTTGTGGTAATAGGCTGGACCAGTAGCAGATAATACAGCCAAAGGACGCACCAAGGACAAACACGGACACAAGCAGACACAAAAAGATGGACACCTAGGAGAGGAAGCAGTTTCTAGGAGTGTGGCCCCCTTGACAGACAGTATGCTGGCTGTGGATTCTAGAAAGGCCCTGTCCCCCAGGTCCCAGCAGAGAGCTACACCCAAAGGGAAGCTCTCAAGGACACTAGAAAGGAAGAGAAAGGCATCCAATAACCGAGAGTTAGGAGTTACCCTTTGTCACGCGTTCTCTGTGTGTGTGCCTCCCTTTATTTGGACTTCAGTTCAGGGCCATTCTCCCCAGGGGCCTTGTGTATACATGAGGAGAGGAATGTTTTGTGCCAACTATTCTGTCTATAATTTATCAGTAGATCCCTTTTCTAAACATTAATGGAGTGCAGCTGACTGATTGATCATGGGGAGGGACACGCCAGTGGGGGCTTAGAAGCTACAATGTTATATAAACTCCATAGAACTATAAGAATGAATAGTGATCAGCTTGGGACCCTGACCAAATACAAGTGTCTGGGTGGGAAGAGACCCCAGAATGGTTGCTGCATTAGTAAATGTCAGAGCCATGATTTGTACTTTGTCTATAAACTTAATGCTTTTTCTACTACACTATACTTGAAGGATGTGGGGGAGAGGGGAGAGGATTATCCCAAGGGAAAAAGGCAAGGCCTGTCCTGGGGAAACCTAGGACCTAGGGAAGGAATGCCAACAGGATTTCTTCCCCAGGAGCCTGTCCTAGATCTTTTCTCCCAGAGCACTGGAGACAGGGAACAGAAGGAACTTCTATACATTAGGGGTCTGACCTTCTAGGGATGGTTCAGGAGCCCCAGGTAGGATTTCTCCCAACCTCCCTTCAAACCACTCCCCCAAAGACCTCATCCCCACCCTCATCCTACCAGGTGGCCTCACACAAGTCAGTTGGTGTCTTACTTAGTTCATCTGGTTCCTGGGAAATGATCTTTCTTCTTCGAAATTTCGTTCTGCCTGCAGGGAGATAACGAGAAGACAGAAAACCTGGATTCTTTCTAATCATGACTGTTACTACTTCATTCACCTTGGTCAAGTCTCCTCTTTACCACTAACTCACTGTCTGGCCTTGGCTGAATCACCCCCCCCCCTTCCTAACCCTCAGTTTTCTCATGTGTAAAATGGGGGGCATGATTTGCATACTTCTACCAGATGAGGTCTACCTGAGGAGATGATGGTTAAAAGATTTAGAAAGAGATGAAAGAGAGGCCCAATCCAACTCCCTCCAGGGAAAAAGAGAAAGGTTCAGGGTTCTCCCAAATATGACACCCATGCCAAGTTGGGTCGTTAGTAGTAGGTATATGCTTTACTCAAGGGAACTATTCACCATGTCACCCAGATCCCCTTGTGACCTGTAGTAAGCTCACATTGGCAGGAGTATTTAACAGGAAGGCTTGCTGACCACCAGTAAGATATGCTAGAGGGTTGAGTTCAGGGTAGGAAAGGAGGCCACTAGATGACCTTTAAGATCTCTTCTAATTCTTTGATTATATATGTTAATGAGCTGACTGACTAGGGTCAATCTGGGGCCAGCCAGAGCTAGTGCTCAGGCTGAAGTGGGGTTTGGACTCATTGTGTGCTCAGGGTCGAGGAGTCCAGTGTGGGACTCAGTCAGGGCCTGGGCTTAGGGGATCGGTATGGAGCTACACTGATATCTGCTCAGAGTAGAGCTGAGATTAGGGCCCATTGTGATCAGCAGAGGAAATTAATTTGTGGCCGGCATCAGAGTTTGCTCTGTGATTGAGGGTAGCACTGAGTCTATGGCTAAGTCAGAGTTCAGTAGGGGCCTGAGATTAGGACCAGGATAGAGAAGTCAATCCATGAGCAGGTTTAGAGGCCAGCGTGTACCAGGATGGAGGTGGAAGAGGAAGACAGTCTGTGGCTGGGATCAGGTCTTTGTCTGGGAATGGGAGTGTGGCTTATGTACTGTATTAGTAGACACTAGGGTTAGGTTAAAATTTGAGGCTAGGGAGAGAGATCAGGTTGGGACAAGTTTAGGAAAAAGTATGGATTTAGAGCTAATTTTGAGAGAGTTGATGGTGCTGTTTGGAAATGGAATCAGTGCTTGCAAGGCCTGGGGCTAGATGGAAGAGTGGAAATTAAGGCTCAGTATGTTCTCAGGGCAGCTAGGTAACACAGTAGAAAGAGCACTGGCCCTAGAGTTCAAATCTGGCATCAGACACTTGACACTTACTAGCTGTGTGGCCCTGGGCAAGTCACTTAACCCCATTGCCTAGCCAAAAAAAAAAAAAAAAGAATTTATGTTTCATCAGATCTCCAGAGCTATGACACAAACAGGATGTCAAACTCCTCTTTGGGGCTTAATTGACAGGAGTATGTGAGCATGGTAGAGGATCAGTCAGTTACTAAAGTGAGAGAGCAGGATCAGAGCTCAGTGGTGGGGTTGGAGTCAGGGAAAGTCTGAGGTTAGGACCCAGTCAGAGGCTGAGGTTAGGAGTTCTTAGTATGTGGTCATGGTAGGGAGAACCAGTTGGTAACTATGGCAAGGGAGCGGGATCAGGGCTCATATTGGAGTGGGGTTAAGAATCAATGGGTAGCTGAAATTTGTGTGCAGTTTGGGGTCGGTTTGTGACTGACATTAGGGCACAGCCTTGTGGCCAAAGTCAGGGCTCTCTGTATGTGGTCATGGTCATGGGCAGCCTGTGGCCAGAGTGAAGGGGCAGGGCTCACTCTGGGCTGGAGCTAGTGACCAGTAGGGGCATGAAATCATAGCAGAGTGCATGTGTTTGGTTTAGGGCTTAGTGTGTGGTCATAGTAGGGTGGGGGTTGGGAGTATGTCTGTGTCCTGGGTTGAGGTTCTTTCTGTGGCCATCATTCAAAGAATAGGGGATCAGTCTGTGGACAAGGTCAGGAGTCATCTAGGGCCAGCTTAAGGCTCAGTCTGTGGTTAGGTGGTGTTTTAATTCAGGGCTGGGTTTAGGGTTTGGTTTGTGGGTTGGGATGTGGTAATGTCTGTTCTTGGGTGTAGGACTTTATTCTATGACCAGGAATAAAATTCAGTCTAGGCCTGGGGGTTAGGGGTCATTCTATGGTCAGTGTCAGGCCTCAGTCTGTGGCCAGATTTAGAGATCGTCTTGGGCTGGAGTTAGGAGCAAGTATGGGGACCCCATTAGCAGAAATCCAAAATTTACCTGGTCTCATTGGTTGTTCCATTTTCAGCTCTCCTTGATCTGAAACTAAGAAGAGAAATGTAACACTTGGCTAAAATCTTCTTATCTGACCCATGAGCCCCAATATGAGTCCCAAGTTTTCCATAAGCAAGAGGAAATAAAATGACTGGGCCCTCAGAGTAACAGAGAACCTAAGTCATCTATCAGAGAATTTGGCTCACCTTTAACCAGACAGGGAGGGAAATTCTAAGTCCTCAGTGGGACATAGTAGATGTAGGGTAAGAGCATTGATATGGGAGTGTTAACCCTTAGCATTACACATGGGGGTTTCAGAGGGGCGTGGATTGAGAAGGATAAAGGACTGAAAAAGTCTGGTCATACATAGTGTAACCCCTCCTCTGGGCTCACTCTCAAAACTCATACTGAATTAGCAAGTTAGATTCCCTGAAGAAAATGACCACTTGTCCCCCTTGGCAGGGTCTGGGGTTAACACTGATGGGTTGGGGTTTCTCTAGTCATAAACTGTGGGTTGTGACCACATATGGGGTCGTGAAAATTTCGGCAGCAGTAAAAGATTTCTGAATGTACAGAAACCAAAAATTAATTAAAAATCAAACCCATAATGAATCTGAGATGTTTCTGGCAGCTCTTTCCTGGTTGCACTGTGCAACTTCACTGCAGCCTTGGTTCTGAACACAAAGCATGTGCACTTTGCACTGCGCATACCCTCAGGCCATGCAACTCCAACAAATGCTGCCTAAACGCAAGAAGGGGTCCCCAGTGGAAAAAGTTTCTAGTTCACGAGCTTCCACAGGTGGGCTCTGCATTGATTATCAGCCAGAGTTAATTTGATTTTAGGAAGAGTATTTACTAAGCAGGTGTAAGCAGATACAAACCTTCTCTCACCCCGATCCAAAAGACTGGGGCACACTCTCCCACAAATATACACAGGGTCAGGAGGGAGAGTGGGCATAAATGTAAAGTACTACGATGCTGAGACATACATGCAGAGCTCACAACTGTTGGTGATTGGCAGCCCTTTCTTGGGTTTGCATCTGGTATCCTTTTATGATTCAAAGGGTTGGTGCTCTTTACGGCTGCTTCCTCCCCCCAAGTGGCTTTCTTTCTCCACATGCATTTGTTCTTAGCCTGTCTTTGGTGTATCTTTCTTCTCCTAGCTGGGAGCATTGTTTGTTACTGGTCAAGTGTCTGAGGAGTCACTGAGGGGGTTGGGGGGGTGGGGATAACAAAAAATTCTTTCTTTTCACCAAGAACATTCCCTCCCATGAACCTGACTCCAACTCTCAAGCTGAAATCCTTAGCTCCAGAACCTGAAGCTCTCCATTGTTAGGCTACTTTGCCATTGGACTGACTTCTGTTGAAATTTTTCCAGCTAATATTTAAAGACCCTAGAGGCCTGGCTGACCCATTTGGTCAAACAATTGGTTATGACCTTCTTGACTAATCAAAGAAGCTGATGCTTTACAAGGAAATCACAGGTCATGAGCTATTGTGTTTATACATTTAACACTGTCTCATGTCTTTATGCTGATTATATTAAATTAATTGAAGTGGGATGGAACGACCTTCTTACACTACATCAGCAGTTAAACATTTATTGTCTTCAGCAAATCACCTGGGGTGCTTTTGGCAAAGTCCACAGTCCCAAATCCTGGATATCTCTAGTGATTTAACAAATTTCAAGCATTGTCCTTTTCCCACTGCTTTGTACTAAATAGTCTGAGGAAAGTCTAGGTGGCATAGTTCATGAACCAATCTGGAACTTAAGTTTCTCCCATACTTCCAAATATCTAGTGACAAAATTTAACAAATAGGTACAATTTTACAAAATTCTTACAGGCTACTGACTATCTCAGCATTTGTAACAGGCCTTCCCAACCCAAAATCAGTTAATGGAAGAAAAAGCTCTTTGAGGGCAGGAACTGGCTTTTTGCATCCCCAGTACCTAGCACATAGTAGGCACTTAATAAATGTCTATTGAATTGAATTGAAAAGGAAAAGAAAATTAAGCCTCCCTTCTCAGAAGGAAATGCTGATCCTTACAGAACTCCCAGGACAGGCAAGCCTTTCCCTATAGGGATTATGGACCTGGGGTCACCTAGAAGTCACTCCCTTACCCTTATGTGAGAAAGCATTATCACTCTGAGTGAAAATCCTTTCATGAGTTCTTTTATCACATAGGATGATCTAATTTGAGGTCTAGTCAAAAACATTTCTAGGTTTCTGTTTTACACACAGAGTGCCAAATGTTTACAGCAATCCCTTTCACACATAAAACAACCCCTCTGGAGGACTAGAGAGTACCACAAAATTCTTCAAAAGAACCTTGCCAATGCACTAGGGCAATCCAAATAGAGCTCCTAACCCACTCCTTGCTAGGAAAAAAAAAACAAAATCTGTTTAACTTTAAAAGGGAATCAAACTAGGAAAAAGTCCCAAAGAGAAATGAGGACCCTAAAAAGAGATGAAGCATTAGAGGCTGATTTCTTGATTTTATGGCATAGCAGACAAACATAATCCTACGGATCTTGAGTCCATAAGTATCTGAGACAAGTTATCTAGATTTGTGTCATAATAAAGCAAATTGTCTAGGTCTGTTTAAAAGTAAAAAAGAAAAAAAAAAGGACATTTATGAGTTATCATAGTATGCTCTAGGTAAATTATGAGGCGCCCGTATTTCAGGCAAGCAAAAATCCATACAGCTTCCATGCCCTCTAAGGGCATAATTATATTAGTACAGAAGTATTCAATCAAGCACTCTCAGTTTAAGCGAAGGCTATCATAAAGAACCTTGTCTGTTACTTTCCCAACTCCCACTAGCAATGGCATCTGGATCCCTAGGGGTTGGGTTAACTACTTTTCCCTTCAGGGTCTATTCCCAAGTAACCCTAAGGGTTGCTGGGGTTTTCCCCGCTATTGCACATAAGTCTCTCACTGATTATCAATTAGTAATCTCAATTGGTTTTTAGGAAAAGGGTATTCACTAGGGAGGCATATTAAGAAAGACTGGTACATTTTCCCCCAAAAGCCTTGGACATACTCTCCCACAAGATCACACAGAACTGGGGGATAAGGGGTAAGAGTGAACTTGAACTTAGGGTATGATGGTAATGAGGCTTTTTGCAAACATGGATAGGCTGTGACTTGTATAATGATATCTGTAAAGTTATATCACTATCTATTTGGAAATATGGAAGAAGGTTAATTTCTAGATCTGTTCACAAACTGTGCCACCTAGACTCTTCTGTGATTGGTTGAAGAGAATCAGATACTTCTCACTCCACTTTGCATCTGCAGTCCTGCCTGGTTTCAACTCCACAGAAGAAGATGCCCCTCCCAGGATAGCCTTGGATACCACCTCCCTCAGCCTCCCCTCCCCTCTGCTTGGAGGACTGGAGGGTAGAGTACTAAACTCCTCACAAAGCCTTCCTTTATAAAGGACAGAACTTCCAGCCCAGAGCCCAATAGAGAGATACACCTGAGGGGAATTTCATGAGTGCTCCACAAAGGAGGAAAAGGACTACCAGTAATCAAGAACTGTGAATTTGCCCTTTTGCCATGTGTGTTCTCTAAATTTGAGCCCACTATCCCCAGGATCCTTGTGTGTTCAAGGGAAGAATATTCAAGAGGGGACTGTTTTGTATATGCTATTGTTGCTATATCTTCTCAGCAAATATTTCTTTTGAAAAAGCTAATTGATGTCAGCTGGTAGATTGATCTGCAGGAGCACATCAGATGTGGGCTCATGAACAGTAGTATTAGTAACCTCAACGCCTCTAGAATCCTGAATAGAGGAATAGTCAGCCACCTTTTGGGGACCCAACCTACCAACACTAGTGGGAATTGGGGAAATGACTCTGGAAGTGATGTTAAGATCATAACATCATAAACTTAGAATTAGAAGGTCCCTTAGAGGTCATTGAGTCCAACCCTCTGATTTTACAGATGAGAGCACTGAGAGGCCCAGAGAATTTAAGTGACGTGCTCACGATAGTAGCTCATAGCTAGTAAGTATCTGAGGCAGGACACGAATCTAGGTCTTCTCGACTCCAACTCAAGTGCTCTTCCCACTATACCATGATGCCTTTGCCCCCAGAGTCAGGAAGTGCTCCATATACTGCTTACCTGTTTCCATAGACTTCATAGCCAACTGGCGCTGGCCCTGGTCATTAGGCTGGTTGACCACCATACATGTGAGTGGAGTGACAAAGCTGAAATTGAGGGAAAGGTCCAGAGCCCTGCCCTTCAGGCTCTGCTGTGCAGTGCCCGAGGCTGAAACACTGAAAATCAGATTTATTAGCATTCAACCTGAAGAGGTTCCACCTCCCTCCCTCCATGTACTCACCTTTCTCTCTACAATTCAGAGTTTAAGGAACAAGGCTATCACCCCCTTCCCAACTCGTCCAGGATGTGACAAACCTAACTAGAGTTGAATGATGGGGAGCTCAGGGTTGCATGATTACAGGGGAAAGAATTTTTTCCTTACTTCTTAGGCCTTCATAGATGGGTATACTTACCCAGATGAACAAAGTGAGACTCAGAGAGGCTACAAAGTCACACAGGCAGGGGTCACTCACGCTTTCTCCAGCAGCTGCTGGATGGTCAAGTATGCCCACAGGCGCTCCATGAAGCTGTGGGAAATGTACTCGGAGTCCTCAAAGACCTTCTCCTTGTTCACAACGTTCACTTCTGTTTGGAAGTTGATGTTCTGGGTGTTCTGAATAGAGGGGAGACATGGACTTAAGCCAAGTATTTGCCTTGGGATATCCCGGGATGTAGGATCCCTCCTGAAGGACTGGGCAGCATCAAACTAAGCCTAAACCACATAGCTCCATGTTATGTCTCATGCCTATGCTGATGACTGGTTGATCTCATTTCGTCATCTGGAGTTATTACAAAAGATCATAAAAGATAAAACATGTATATCTATAGTCCGTGGAATCACAGGATTGAGAGCTAGAAGAGAATGTCAAGATTTTCTCCAACTCTCTTTTTTTACACTTGAGGAAACTGAGATAGATGACTCACCAAGGTTTCACAGATGTCAAGTGACAATCAGCCATCTAGCATTTATTAAGGGCCTGCCAGGCCCTGTGCTAAGTGCTAAGGACACAAAGAAAAGAAAACAAGACTAGGTTTCTCTTCCCATTGCAAAATAAACCAGTTTCCTCAGATGTTAAATTGATTTCAGACACTACTGGTTTCCTTTCTTCTTTCTCAGTTCCTCTCCTCTTTTCCATGATACCTTTGCCTTTCTGTATACTTCTGAATCTTCCAAACACTAATAGATTTTGAGCATTTCTGTTGCCTCAGAAGTCCTTTACCACCACCAAATTCATAATTTTTTGCTCTTGTTCTTTCCTCCTTCCTTTAATAAGGTCCTACAAGTTCTTTCTTTGTGGCTCTGGCTTGTTCTTTTCCTCACCTCCTACTTCCCCCAAAGGTCTTAGCCAACTGGCTACAAAAAGCACTGACTCTGGTGCAATGAAGGGCCAGGGGTTACTGGGTTTCTCCCTCAAGCCCAGTTCTCTTGGGCAAGTGTTGTCTTTTCAGCCCTAGACTTTGGTAACCACACCTCTGCTCTTCTCACCTAGTGGCCTCCCTCTAGCCCTGATGGATCACGATGAGTTGGCCAAAATGTAGCCTATCAGCTTGGCTTGACCCTTGGCCCACCACCCTCAAATCCTAACCTGACCCCCCAGCATCATCTCTTGGTTATTGACATATTTAGTCATACGGATTTCAGAGTTGAAAGAGACCTTAGGCTTCTTATAATACAACCTGTACCTAAACAGCATGTCTTATAAATGATCATCTATCCTCTGTTTGAAGACCTGTAGGGACAGGAAACTCACTACCTTCCTGGACAGCCCATTACACTTTTGGACAGTTCTAATTGTGAGGACATTTTATCTTATATTGAATCAAAATGTACCGCTCTTCAATTTCCATCCATTCCTCTTTATTCTACCCTTTGTATTGAAGTAAAATAAGTCTTATTCCTCTGTCATGTGACAACTTCAAATATTGGAATATGTCTGTCATCTTTTCTCCAGGCTAAACATCTCTATTTCCTTTCCTTGACCCTCTAATGCCACAGTGTTTTCTTCATTCCTTTTGCACTCCTAAAGACCTACACTAGTTTACCAAAATTCTTCCTTAAATATGGCACCCAGAACTAAACACAATGCCTTGCTTTCAATAGGCTTTCAGTACATTTTTGTTAAATTCAATTGAATTGAACACGATATTCTTGCTGGATGTGGTTGCACATGCCTCTTGGTTCCTGCTGCTGAAGAGTTAGAGGCTGGTGGGCCACTTGAGTTCTGTAGGAGATCTGTAGTTCTAAGTAGAGGTAAAACCAATTGGGTGTCCAACTAAGTCCAACACTAGTATGGTGAGCCCTCGGGGAATGGAGGGCCACCAGGCTCCCTAAGGGGGAGTCAACTGGCCCAGCTCAGAAAAAAAACTTTTACCTGGATCAGTATTGGAATCAGACCCACGAGTGGACACTGTACTTTGGCTCTTAACAAGATGGAGAGACCCAGTCTCAAAAAAATGAGCAGAATACCCCAAATATGATCTGGGCAGAGCAGAGGACGGCAGGATTATGGCCTCCCTCATTCTGGAGGTGGTGTCTCTATAAATGCAGTTTTAGATGACAATAACTTCTTTCCTGCTTGTTTCAAATTAAAAAAAAAACACCTGACTTTTTTCACAATCTGGCTTTTTTTTTTTAAAATCTGGCTTTTTCTAGATTGATTTCACATCGCTAACTATATAGCATTCTCTTTGTTGTTCCCCATATATAACATTCCATCTTCCACCTCCACGCCTTTACATAGGCTGTCCCCCTATGTCTACAATGCTCTCCATCCTAGCCTCTATCTTTTGGAATCTCTAGTCCACTTTAAGGGTCAGCTTAAGTTCCACCTTGATTTTCTCTAGTTATTAGCATTTTCCCTATCCCCAACCACAACTACACAGTTACTTTGTACATGTCTCCATCAAGAAATAACTTTGTATTTACTATATGTACATTACACACTTACTCATCTGTGTGCTGTTTTCTCTCAGTAGAAGGTAAGCCTGCTGAAGGCAGGGACTGTTTCTTTTTTGTATCCTCAGTGCCTAGCATGGTCCTTGGCCCCTAGTAGACAATATATAAATGTGTCCTGAATGGAACTGAACTGAATTCACCAGAATGTTTGTCTAGTCCTGCTTCCTTCATCCTGTCCTTGTACTATACAGGAGACAGCTCTCAGGCCAAGCAAGTTTCTCCCATCAAAGGATTTCTGGGTCTCACTCACCGACTGGCCCCTGACTTGGGCTGAGAGCAGGTCCGGGGCTTGAGGCGTGAGCTTCCCAGCCACCACTAGCTCAGAGCCTTTGAAGAAGACCCTGAAACTGTCCTGTGTGAGCAGTTCCACAGCGTTGTCTGGGTACTGGAACTCCACCATGGTCAGCAGCGGATTGGCCACTTCCTGGTAAAAGTCCTTTAGGGGAAGGGGAAGGGGAAAGGGTAGGGTAGAACTAAGTATGGTGGGTTAGGCAGCTCTTTGGGGCCTGTAGTACTTTAGAGCTGGAATCCAACTTCCTCTTTGGAAATAAAGGCAAGGTGAAGCTCATAGAGGGGAAAAGATATGTTCAAGGTCACACAGGAATTGAGGGACAGGTTCTAATTAAGGTGCTGGGAATTCTTTTCTTCTCTAATTCTTCCATCTCACATATAGAGGGTATTCATACACAGGAGGACTCCTCATGGGATCCCAAAGGCCAGGTGCCGGTACCTGGAGCTGCAGGTCAGCATCTGAGTCCTCATAGATGCGTCGGGCCACCCCACCATTATCCAGGGCCAGCTTCTCCAGGAAAGCGTAGTTGACATCAAAGCCAAAGCCCAGGCAATAGAGGTGGTATCGGCCTGCTACAGTTGCCTTCACATTCTCCTGAATCTTCTGTAGTTTTGTCTCCCCTGCAGCAATATGGGCCAGCGAAGAGACAGAGAGGCAAGAGAAAGAGAGAAGAGATGGATGAACAGAGAAAGGGAAAGAGAAAGAGAAATAGAGAGGATAGATAAGGCATTTCTTGAGTGCTTATTATAGGCCATGAACTGTGAAAGAAATATCAGTTATCTGTTCAACGGTTAAATATCAAAGAAGAGAATAGAATTGTAGGATGTGACAGCTGGAAGGGACCTCAAGGATCACTTACTCCAACCTCCATCTGGATGGAAATATCTTCACATTGCTCACCCCAACCCCAGCTAGTTATGGAGTCCAGGGATCATACAGTGAAGCTGGGGCCCCAAAAGGGCAAAATACTTATCCAAAGTCATATAGACAATGAATGGCAGAGATTGGACTAGAACCTAGGACACCCTGCTCCCAGTACATACCTCTGAGGAGCACCTACTCCAAGCTCTACCTGCTCTTGCCTGAGGCCATCTCTGACCACTCAAGCCCCACTGATAGCTCCCTTCTAGGGTTTCCTGGACAGCTTACCAACAGAACCACATATCCCAAGCCTTCAATTTGTTCCCATGCCCATCTCGTCTTCCCACTCAGGTTGGGAAAATCCCAATGTCGGAATCTAGGTCTGTTTCTCCTCTATCTTTTCCAGACTGTAATCTCTCTGGGGGCAGGTCCAGGGTCTGCCCCACCTCTGTTTTCCCCAAACTATCGTCCTCATCTCCTGGGAAAGGGTCCCCAGAACAAGAGCCCTCAGGACACACACCCCCTTTTGGCATCCAGAGGAAGTTGGTGCCCACGCAGGAAGAACCCCCCCCCACCTCACCCTCAGTGGGATCTCCATCCGTGAGCAGGATGACCATAGAGACACTCCCTGAAGGCAGCTGCTTCCTACTGTCGCTCTCATCCAGCATTCTCACAGCCAGAAGGATGGCCTCATTGATGTTAGTTGCTAGGGAGAGAAATCTTCTCACACCTGCCTCAGCTTTGGCACCGACTGAGACAGGTGGAGGATGAGAGGCCTGGGAGGAAGAGAGGGGTGGAGGCTTGTCCTGGGGCAGAGCAGAAAGGGAGGAGACTGGAGACTGGGGTCAGAAAGGGAGGAGGGCCAAGCGACCAGGCCAGGTTACAGAAGTATAGCTTGATAATTTTTCAGGACCACCACACACAGGCCTGCATCAATGAACAGAGAAGTTGAAATTCCCATCTAGATTCTATGCAGATGGGTCAGTTTAGCCTAGCTTGAAGCAGTAAGTTCCAAGTGTGTGGGTATTGGGGGTGGAGAGCAAATTATTGATCGATTGTCTTTTTAGTAAGGTTAGGACATAGGGTTAGGGATCCACTGGGAATGGGGACAAGGAAATAACCAATGTTGTTCTCAATAGCTGCCCAATAGGCCCTGTTTTTGACCAATTCTCTAACTTCCTCTACCAGACTCTTCAGAAACCCTCATCTAAACAGTGATGCTAGGATCCTTGAGGCTAACCACACTCCCTACCCCCTAAAGCCCTGGCCCTTCACTCACCACCCAGGGCTTGAGTATTAGAGAGAAATGTCTTGGCTGATTCCAGGTGTTCTTCTGAGGCCTGAAGCAACACTGGCTTCCACTGGGTCACTCTTCCACTGAAGGCAACCAAGCTGAAATGATCCTCTGGTTTGAGATCATCCAGGACCTTTAGCAGGGCTTCCTTGGTCTAAGAGGGCAGGGAAGGAACTTGGTGGAGGAGAGGTTCAGGGAGTGAGGAAAGGAGCAAGGAGGAGTTTCATGTTCAGGGAGCCACAATATGGGGTTGAAGTTTAGGGGGCAGAGAAGGGACATGAAGAGAGAATCAAAGGCAGAGAAGACAGATGTTGGGAGGTTTAGGAGATAGGGAGAGAGTCCAGAGAAGGGGAAGAGAAGAGATTAAGCACCCATATAGCACTTAATATATGCCAGGTACTGTGCCAAGCTGAGTAATATTTTACAAATACTATCTCATTTGATCTTCACAACAGTACAAGGTAGCAACTATTATTACTCCCATTTTACAGTTGAGGAAACTGAGGCAAACAGTAGTTAAGTAACTTGCCCAGTGTCTCCCTACTAATAAGTGTCTGAGGCTAGATTTGACCATGCCTAATGCTCTATTCATTGTGACAGAAGCTGCCTCCACACTATCTCTATAGTAGAGATGGTAGGGCACGGAAAAGGGTGGAGATAGAAAATCATGGATAGAAAGGTAAGACTGAAGATGTTAGAGGAAAGAGACAGAGGAAGATTCAGCAGGGAGGGAGAATGAAGGGATGCTCGGGGAAGAGTGGAGATTGGGGCAGAATGCTCAGGAAATAGGAATCTGGGGCTGGATGATGCTAACCCCTTTCCACCTGGCCCATCCCCTGACACATCATGGCAGAGCCAGAGGGATGCCCTGGAGTAAGAGCTGATAGGGTGAGAACATGATAAGGATAGAAGGGTAGAGGTATAGCCTAAAATGAACTTGGTTCCTTTCCTGCCTAGAACAGTCCCCAACTCTTCCCCCTTCCCATTCCCACATGGTTCCAGGACACCTCCTAACCTTCTTAATCTTCCTGCCAGCCATGGATCCACTCTTGTCGATTACAAAGACCACATTCTTGGGCAACAGGGGCAACTCTCTTGGAGCAAAGTGATGCACGAAGTATCCATTCTCGATCTGCAGCGTGGGAACAGCTGTGGGTCAGAGCGCCTTGCTCCCTGCTTGCTACCTTGGCAGAAAGTAATGGCCCCACCTCCTCCTTCCATTCTCCCTTTGGCCAATGAGACATAGGATCCTTAAACTTAGTGAGCTAGCCCTCCTTCTAGCCTGCCTTTTCCTTTACCTCAGAGCAGGAAACAACCCCCCTCCCAGCTCCTCTCCAAAACCTACCCATCCTCTAAAGCCCATCTCAAGGCCTGTCTACTGAGCAAGGCCTTCCCTTATGACCCTTAAACACTGAAGAGAGCTTTCTTCCACAGAGACATAGAGCATGAGGATATGATTCCCATTTTACAGACCAAGAAATAAAAACCAAGGGATTTCTTAAAGATACAGGGAGGTGTTAGTGCCAGGCCTAGGACAAGAAGCTTGGTCTCTGTCTCCCAAATTCCTGTCCTGAGCTCTTTCCCATTGCATCCTACTTCTACTAACTCAGTCAGCAAGCAAGTGCCATGTATCACACTAAACTCAGCTCAAATCTTACTTCTTGCAGGCCTTTCTCCTAGTCTCCCCTTCTTTTGTGCCATCCCTCTGAGATCACCTCCATTTACATGTCCTGTATACTTATACTGTATGTATCTTACATGTATGTAGTTATATACATTATATCCTATCATACATATTATATCATATGCAGATTATATTACATACAACTATATTACATAAAATATCTAATATGAAATTATCTATATTTTAAATAAATTAAAATTTATATATTTATATAATTAAATATGTTACATATATTTAAACTTATATAAATCTAAATATATTATATTGTTGTCATCCCTATTAAAATGTGAGCTTCCTGAGGGTAAAAATTGTGTTTTTTACTTTCTTCACATACCAGCAATTAGCTCAGTGGATGGTACACAATTAAGTGCTTAATAAATATTTGTTAACTGACTAAGTGGTTTACTAAGCTATGGCAAAGACAGGAATGACCAGCACCAGATTCCTGCCCTCAGGGAACTCAATGGACTCTTGTGATTTAAAAGGATTTGTTGATGAAGTGTGCCTCCCACCAAACAGCCAACAGGTGGTACACAATGATATGGAATAAAGCCTACATTTTCAGATGTGGCCAATGTGTTGATTTGTTTTGCTTCCCTGCAGTTATTTGTTATGAAGAAGGTTTCTATTGGTGGGGTAGGGGTGGTGGTGTGTAGATGGGAAACAAGAAAACAAGAAAAAAAAAACATTAAAAACAATGCTATTTTTTAAAAAGAAGGAACTCAGTGGAGGGGTGTGAGATGAGGGAAAGGCAGTAGGGCAGAAGTGGAGGATGACAGGAACACAGACAACTTTAGCACCACAGGACAGTCTAGGTCACAGGGGTGGTGAACTTGCAGCCTAAAGGCCACATGTGGCCCTCTAAGTCCTCAAGTGAGGCCCTTTGACTGAAGGCCACAGGTTCCCCACCCCTGGCTAAGACCTCAGCCTAGAGAGGCACATTCATCGGCCTTCTCTAAACTACCTAACAATCAATTGAGAAGCATTCATGAAGTGCCATGAAGTACTGCTGTTCAGTTTCAGTTGTGTCTGACTCTTCATGACCCCATTTGGGACTCTATCCACTGTACCACCTAGCCATCCCTGGCATGTACTAGATACTTAATAAATGCTTCTCAATTGATTGGATTGAATGCAAGGTAGTTCAGAGGGGGCCAATGTTTGTTTTGGACAGCACCTTGATTGTAAGGCTGTCCACTATGCTACAGAATAGAAAGATTAAAAAGAAAGAAAGAAAGAAAAAGAAACAAGTGATTCTTTCAAGGATTTTAGATTCTATCAAGGGGGACAACATGTACATTTATAAGCATGTACAAAGGAAATCCAACAAACACATTGCTCTTACTGTCTGCACCCTCTGCAGTTAGAACATAAAGTACTATGGATCTCAAATGTGTGGTTCTGCTAGAATGGAAGACTGAGGTCAGAAAACAGCTCCTCACATGGGAATGGGCATGAATTCATAAAGAACACAGAAGATCAGCAGTAGATGGGGCTGGTCTCCCCTTTATGGGGAGGTGGGGAAGAAGAAAAACAAGAAACAAATGGAGTTCCTGGGCCTGCCTTACTGAGACAGACTCCGGATTGGGCTAACAATCCCTTACCCTCCCACTGCCCCAATTAACTTGAGCAAAAGCACCCAGTTCATACTTCCTTTCCACTGTAATTCACAGATTTGGCAAATAATCACAGAATGCAAGAGTGTAAGGGCTGCAAGGTACCTTCAGCACTACGTAGCATGAGCTTTCATTGCATAGGAGACAAAATTGAGGCCAAAATATATAGACAATAAAGTCCACATACAAGATATATAGACAATAAAGTGATGTCCTATGTCTCTCAGACTACTTCCTTGCGATCAGGGCTCTAGGTAACACAGCCTATGTCTCCCACACAATGCTGCTAAGTACAGAGCTAAGCACACAAGGATGGGTCAACAACATTTGCTGATGGATTGATTTCCCAAAAGTCTATAGTGTTGCTAAAGTCAAGGATAGAAAACGGATTGACAGCTGCTTCCTTCCCATAGGGTTCCCAGAGCCCATCCTTCACATTGCCCCTATAGCTTTCACCTGGATGTCCCCTGCAACGGCGGTTCGATTCACGTCATAATGGACAATGAAGTTGCCATCCAGAATCGTGTCCAGCTTCCCGGGCTCCTTCTGCTGCTGGGCCAGAGATGGCTTGAACACTATGTGAGCCTGGAGGAGAAGAAGCTGGTGCTGAGAAGTTAGCTGAGAAGCCAGAGGTCTTTCTGGGCCCTGCCGGTGGCCCGAGAGCTGAGGAAACTGGAGTAATCCATCTTTAGCTATGCCCACAGGAAGCCGAGAGACTTCTGAAAGAATGGCTTACCTGCTAGATAGTGGCTAACCAGATTCCTGAGTTCTTCCCCTGACCCTGGCTTTGAGGTAGAGGGATTTTGTGGATGGAGATGGAGATGGAAGCGATAGAAAAGAAGAAGGCCCAAGAGAGGGGCCATGGGGCACAGATGCCGCAGGGAGGAGCCCTTGGGAACATCTGCTATGAGGAGCCACAGAGCTGCAGGGTATGTGGGGGCTGGTTAGTCGGAGGGGTGAGATGACTCCGAACCAAGGAGTGATGGGATAATTGGAGTGTGAACTGCTTATTAGGAAAAACCTTCATTGCTGCTCTAACACGAGCTAGGAAAAGAGATAATAATAACCATTTCTCTTCCCCCTCTTCTCACAGGGGACCTGAATATGTTGGACTCTATCCCAGTGACCCAGCAAAGGTACCTGTGACTGACCTCACTCACCAGCTCCTCTTGGTGATTAGACTGGGACAAAGGACGCAATAGAACCATGAGGAATTCCCTTCTGCCCTCCCTGGGTCTAAATCACCCTCAGGCAAGAATTCCATAGTTTCTTCAATACCTGTACCCTCTGTGTGCACAGAGGCCTGAAAACTTTGTAATCATACTGACCTGCCCAATCCCCTCTCCTGCCTTGTGCCTCATTTCCTCCTGCCCCTATAATGATTTGGGCTAGGGCCCAGGTTCTGTCCTCCCAGGTCTCAGCATCTGACCTTGGTCTTGTTCTGTGTGGTGGTGAGGGCATCTGCCAGATCCTTGGTCATAAAGGCGATCTCAGTGTCCAGGGAACTGATGCCCTGAGGCTCAAAGATATGGATATCTATCTGTGGAGTGGAGGGGGAAAAGGCATGAGAAGAGTCTGGAGGTCTGAAGGAAGGTGATAGCTCTATGCTTAGGGAGGCCCCAGTCTGAGGAAGAAGAGGCCCTGGCCCTTGGGAGCCCTGGTCTAATGGGGGTAAGGGAAAGAGACAGACTTCTCTGCGTTGGAGAAATAGAGTGAATGCATCAAGGCAGGCTTCCCGGGGGAGGTGACTTAGGGTCAGCCCTATTACCTGCAGATGTTTGACCAGCTGTTGGGGCTGGACCTTCAGCATTAGCTCATATTTCCCCAGCTGCCTCTTCAACAACTCCTCATAGACCAGCTCAAAGGTGGCATTGGCAGTCGGAGCCACATTGACAGACACCTGGAACTGTTCCAGATTCCTCCCTGTGGCCCTGGGTGGGAGGTGGGCTCCTTAGTGCCACTGGGAATGGACAGGGTGGGCAGGGGGAGCTTGGGCATAGCTTGGTTCTATAGAGGTTGTCAGTGTGGCCGTGGCCACGGCCTAAACAGACAGGGCAGGAGGTACTCTCAAGCAGGAGGCTGGCTGTATGGGGCTTCCTGGTTCCTTGGTTGTCCCTGCCCAACCCCTGTCCCAGGTACTTACTTGATTATTTTAGCACTCGGCCCCTTGGCCAGAGCTAAGCGGTACCTCTCCTGGGCAGATGCCTTCTCCTTCATCTCCCCTGGGTATGTCACACCATCAATAATCCTAAGGAGGGAGAGAGAAGAGGGGCATAGAGAGGCCTCAGGAAAGGAGCTCAGGGATGCTGAGGAAAGAGGGCTAGAGGAACTGAGGAGGGGGCAGATTGGGTTTTGATTTCTCATATTACTTAACATCTACACTTCTTATTCAGTCATGTCCAACTTTTCATGACCCCATTTGGGGTCACTGGAGTGATTTGCCATTTTCTTCTCCAGCTCTTTTTAACAGAGGAGGAAACTGAGGCAAACAGAGTTAAGTGACCTGTCTTGGGTGACACAGCTAGTATGTGTCTAAGGCCATATTTGAATTTAGATCTTCCTGACTCCAGGCCTGGTGATCTATCCACCATACCACTTAGCTGCCCATAACATCTACACACTATAACATAACTATTTTAGATTGTCTTTCCTTGTTCTGAATGGTTCCTATACAAACCTTTCTGTTTGTTATTTAACACCCTTCCCCATCTGGCTGCAGCCTACATTTCCTAGCTAATTACATGAATCAAAGGCATCATCACTTAGAATGTTATTTGGGAACAAGCAAACTTTCACAAAAGACATTCAATAATGAACCATTGCTGTGTTGGAAGCTGTGTTGGAGAGAGGAGAGAACAGGAGCAGGGAAACCAAATAGAAGGCCTTTTCAAGAGAAAAGGTAAGAAATGATGAGGTTCTAACCTAGGGTGTTGGCCATGGGAGTGGAAAAGAGGCAGATGTGAGAGATGTTGTTGAGGCAACATCAAAAAGACTTGGCAAGTGAGTGAATATGGGGGATGGGAGAGAGCAAAGACTCAAAGATGACTGATTTTGTGGACCAGGGTGACTAGTCAGAAGGATGATGGTACCCTCAAAAGAAACAGGGAAGTTAGGAGGCCGCTTCATTGCAGTGAGGAGGTGACTCTGGGGTCTTGAAGGTTATACCAGTGGAACACAAGCTCTGAAAGCTTCTATCATACTAGTGAAGCTTCATGTATAGTCCAGGAATGTACTGAGACTGTTTCCTGAGGATCTTCTTAGTGGAGAGAGGCTCATCACCACTCATGATGAATTCTTTGGCCATAGCAAACTATGAAATAATAAACAAATACACAGTGAGTCTTGGTCTTGTGTGTCTTTTCTGCTTCCACAGTGACAAAATGGCAGAGAAGGTAGTGATTGGTTGTCATTCGTTCTCAAAGACAATCAAAATGATATCACCGTGTTAGAGTCAAGTCATAATGCGTCCGACTGTGGCTGATCAGACCAATATGAGCTCAGAATGCACAAATAGTCCATGTGAACATTTGGGGTGGATTCTCTAAATTCGTTCATCTTATGTTTCTTTTGATCTACTTCAATTCTGCTTTGCTCATAAAGAACAGCACCTTCTCTGATGAGGGCACGCCATGCTGGACGCTAAGAACCATACTGTTTTTAGACTTTCTGTAAACTAACATACGTCTTGGTACTTTAAACATAAGTTCCCTACCCCAAAATTAAGGAATCAACATACTACTAGAGGAGCAGTAGCATAACAATATTGCCATTTTTGCTATAAATTAAACCAGAGGGAAGTTGTAGCCAGATGGGAGGGTTCTCATAGGTACTTCTTATAGACAAAGAAAAGAGTTGGTAGAATTAGTTTTATTGTATGCTTCTTGGCATACAATACAAAACACCATTTCATGGGATAATCGATCAATAAACATTTATTAAGCATCTACTATATGCCAGGCACTGTGCTAAGTGCTGGAGATAGAAAACAAGGCAAAAGACAGTCCCTGATCCCAAGGAGCTCGCAGTCTAATAGAGGAGACAACATGCAAACAAATAAGATACAAAGCAAACTATATACAGGATAAAAAGGAAATAAAATTAACAGGGGGAAATTAAGATTGGCTGTGGAAGGCTTTGAGCAAAAGATGGGATTTTATCTGGGACTTACAGGAAGATAGGTAGGTCAGAAGGCAGAGCAGAGGAAAGAAAACATTCCAGGCACGGGGGACAGCCAGAGAAAGTTCCGGGAGCCAAGAGGAGTGGCTTGTTCATGAAACAGCCAGGAGGCCGGTGTCATTGCATCAAGGAGTATGTGTTGGGGAATAAGGTATAAGAAGACTAGAAAGGTAGGAGGGGGCTAGGTAATGAAGGGCTTTGAATGCCAAATGGAACATTTCATATTTGATCTTGAAGGCAATAGGAAGCCCCTGGAGTTTAATTGAGCAGAGGGGTGAAATGGTCAGACTCGCACTTTAGGAAAATCACTGTAGTGGCTGAATGGAGTGGAGAGAGACTTGAGGCAGGCAGCCCTATCACCAGGCTATTGAAATGGTCTAGGCACGAGGTGATGAGGATCTATACTACAGTGGTGGCAGTCAGTGTCAGAGGAGAGAAGGGGATGTATTTGAGAAATGTTGCAAGGGTGAAATTGGCAGGCCTTGGCAAAAGATTGGATGTGGAGGGAGAGAGATAGTGGGGAGTCAAAAAAGACACCTAGGTTTTGAGCCTGAGGGACTGGGAGGATGGTGTTGCTCTCTCCAATAATAGGGAATCTTGTGGGGGAGAGGATGGGTTTCAGGTGAAAGATAATGACATATGTTCATCTTGTATTGCAGGGTTCATGATAACAATTTGTAAATTTTTTTAAAAAAAGACCACTATGGGGAAAAATGCGTTTTATATACCAACGTTGGTTGCAGAGGATAATTAATAATAATAATAATAACTAGCATTTATATAGTGCTATAAAGTTTGCAAAGCCCTTTATATCTATTGTCTCATTTTCTTTTCACAAGCCTGGGAGGTAGGTGCTATTATTATCCCCATTTTCCCAAAAAGGAAACGGAGACAGAGTTAAATGACTTGTTCAGGGCCATAGAGCTAATAAGTATCTGAGGCTGGATTTAAACTCAGGTCTTCCTAACTAAGCCCAGTGTTCTGTCTACTTCATTACCTAGCTATCTGGAGATGAATAAGTAGAGAAATTTTATGAAGAACATAAATGGGTCAAACTCTCAAAGTTAAGTCAGCATATACTTTGTTAGTCGATTTCAGTGCAAAGGCAAGAATAGGTAAAGATGGGGGAAATAGTATTAGAAATCATGGGTCAGAAATAGGAAATAAGAAAAACCAGAGAGACTTGTAGACAGAAGCTTCCTGACTACATCATGAATATTTTTTGAGAAAAGAATCAGTAGTTACTAGACATGGTGAGCATTGAGTAACAGCCCCCAAAATAAAATTGATACAATTTTAATGGACAGGAAAAGACCCACTATTGATGTAGAAGTCATCCCTGACTGGCTAGCATTTTAGTAGCACTTTTTAAGTTTTGCAAAGTGTTTTCCACATGTTACTTTATTTGATCCTCACAACAACTCTATTAGGTAGGGACTATTATCATGCCCATTTTACAGATGAGAAAACTGAGTCTGAGAGGAGTTAAGTGACTTGTCCAGGCTCACACAGCTAGTAAGCATCTGAGAAAGAATTCAAACTCCTGGCTCCAGGTTCATCACTCCATCCACTATATCACCTGACTTCCTGTGTATTGTCTAATTGCTGACTCTAGAACAACAGAGTCTATGGATAGACTTTAAGGGGTTCTAGAACTTGGATGGGGGGAAAAATGACATCTCTATTTTCTGACCCCTAACCAAAATTGAGCATTTCCTTCAATTGTTTAAAAACCTTCTTCTGAGAAGGGATCCATAGGCTTCTCCAGATTGCCAAAGGAGTTCATGCCATATGAAAGATTAAGAATTCCTGCATTAGAACAAAGATCAGAATTGATATGATGATAATAATTGATGGTAGAAGAAAAAGAATGAGAAAAAGATATGGTCTAAAATTGAAATAGCTAAATCTTGACTTATTTAAATAGGTTGCTGAAAATGAAAAATGGGAGTTGGATGGTAGAAACATTGACACCAATTATGATAATTTTATACAGAAGTTTAGCTGATGTAAATTAATTGCCATAACAAGAAGACCAATGAGAGGCCCCAAACCATCTTAGTCAGCACTTAGTTCCTAAGTGCTGAAAGATGATGGACATAGAGAGCACCAGTTTAAAACATATGTTTGTTTAAACAATGAAAGATAATGGAACATGACTAACAGTATCACCTTATAAGGCTGAGAAAGGCAGTGGGCAGTGTGATGTTTAAAAAGTTAGAGACATAGTTTTTGGGTAATTAGTCATTTTATTAATAATAATTATTTAATTAATATTATTTGATTAATACTAGTTATTACTTTATTAATAAAAGAGGTCCATGGCACTCTTGAAAGTCAAAGACCATCATGGTGGTGCTCACGTAGCTTAAATGCCCTCAGAAAAGTAGGTGTTCAGAAGATAGCAATAAACTCTGATTGGTTGACAATTAGTGAGAGAATGAATATTATAATGAGAAGTGAGCTCACTCCAATGAGGGGCTGAGAGAGTGATATCATGTCACTTTTAGACAAAGAGATTATCTGTACACCCAGACCACCTCCAGCCTTGGCCAAAGGATCTACCTCCATTTAAACTTGCTTGAGTGGACCACAATGGGCAGAAATTCACCTTAAATAATATGGTCTAGGCGGGGTAAATTTTTGGCAGAGGTCACTAATGTCCTTCAAAGGCTGTGCTTTGAACAAGGAAATAGGACAGGGAAAAAGCCTGGTTATTGGTTATTAATTGGTTATTAACAGTCATTTCTCTCAATAGTAAAAACCATTTTAAAGAAAGCTTGATAACAGACCTAAGTAAAGCAATCTTAACGATATTTTAAGTATGAAAATGGAAGGAGGGAAACAAACAGAAGAAAATAAGAAAAAATCTGCAAAGCTTTTTATAGCAAGTCATTTTTACCATCAAGGACAGTAGAGGCATCACAATGGGACTCTAACATCACAGTCCCCAATATATTCATAGAAGAGATAAAAAAGGCACTAGGAGAACAAAGATGGGAAAAGCAGCCAAATTAGGCCAATTAAATATTTAGGAGGTCCATGCTGGAAGTGACACAATTGTGAGGGCAGTGATGGTATTCAAAATGTATCTGAAAGGGGGAAGATATAACGACATGGGGGAAAAAACTCAGACTTTGTTAATACTAAAAATACTAATTGTTAATACTAAAAAAATTATTGTACTAATGGTAATACTATTGTATACTAATTATACAAATTTGTACAAATTGTACAAACTGCAAATTAACTAATTGTTAATGCTAAAAAAAAAATGACTGAGAGAACATGTGTTACTACTGACACATGCCCAAGTTCCCATAGATACAAAATTTTTAGGAGAATCATCTTCATGAACATCAAACGTATCAGGTTATTAGTAGGGAATAGGAAGGTTTTCACTAGCAATTTTCTATAGTGGACCTCACTTTACCATTGTACAAACGACTAAAATATGTAGAAAATATGAGATTCCACTGTGCTTATCATTTGTTGGCTTCTCTTAAAGTTTGATTCAGCAGAGCAAAATGTTGCCTTAAAATGCTATCTTCCAATGGGCTATCTCCCATTGATATCGTTCAAGAATCCATGAAAGGAGGGGTAGCTAGGTGGTACAGAGGAATAGAGCACCAGCCCTGGAGTCAGGAGGACCTGAGTTCAAATCTGGTCTCAGACACTTGACACTTACTTGCTGTGTGACCCTGGCCAAGTCACTGAACCCCAATACCTAGTCAAAAAAAAAAGAATCCATGAAAGGTGACTGACTGATTGAATGAATGGAAAATCATTTATTAAGCAATTATTGTATACAGAGCCCTGGGAATACAATATACGATACATGCAGAAGTGACAGATATAAGAGATATAATCTCATTCAATGACCTTCTTTTCATTAACATCAAGATGAACCATAATAATAGCTAACATCCATGTGCCTAGGAAGTTGGAAATGAATGAAAGTCTAGGAAAGGAGATTGAGAAGGAGCAGAATAGAGGGGTATTAGGAAACCTGGGGAAATTCCATGTCATAAAGCCTCAGGAGAGGGGAGGGCAGTAGGAACAGGTAGTCAACAATTTCAAAAGCTATACAGAGGTCAAGAAGGATGAAAGCTGAGAAAAGGCCAATGGTCTTGGTGATTAAGATCTGGTTGGGAGCCGTGGGACAGAGCAAGAGCAGACTCAGGGTCTGCCATCAGGGTATCCACAGGTCAAGGAGACAGAAGGAATAGGGCCAGCCTGAGGTCTAAGAGCTCAGAGCCAGAGGAGATAAAATCAGAGGAGACTCTGGCCCTGCCCTCAGGGAACTTGCTGACTGGGGAAGATCAGTCCATCCTCCAAGGTACTGGAGAGGCTGGGAGGAGACCTAGTGATCTTATGGATTGTTTGAGTTTCTAGGCTGTTCAACTCAATTCAGAAGTATCAGGGGCCTTCTGTGAGGATGTCAAAGGACATTGACAAGACCATTGGGGCTGGTGTCTGGAGTATGGCACCACCTGTTGGACAAATTATATATTACATTCCTGAGCTAGTTAATTGTAAAGTGTGATACCTTGGCTTCTCTTCCTCTATACAATTGGTCTTAGTGAGCTCATCAACTCCCATGGACTTAATTTTCACCTTGATGATTCTCAAATCTACTTATCCAAACCTAACATCTCTTCTGGCCTCCAGTCTCTAACCTCCAGCTGCCTACTGGACATCTCAAACTGGATGACTTAACAGACATCTTAAAAGAAGATGTCCAAAATTGAACTCATGATCTTTGCCCCAAAACTGCCCATGATTATTATTAAGGATCCCACTATTCCTCCAGTCATCCGGGCTTGCAACCTTACTGTCATCCTCAAGTCCTCATTCTCTCTTACCCCTCCTTCATACCCACTCAGTTGCCAAATGGTATCAAATCTCCATTTGCCACATCTCTCATATGCCCAATCCTTTCTCTCCATTCACCTCTGATGCAGGTCCTCATCACCTCCCACCTGAACTCTTGCAATACTTTCAGGTTGGTCTTCTTGCCCCAAGTCTCTGTCTCACTGCAGTCCATTCTCCACTGAGCTGTAAAATTGATCTTCCTGGGGGCAGCTAGTAGGTGGCGCAGTGGATAGAGCTCTGGCCTTGGAGTCAGGAGAACCTGAGTTCAAATCTGGTCTCAAACACTTGACACTTAACTAGCTGTGTGACCCTGGGCAAGTCATTTAACCCTAACTGCCTCACGAAAAAGCAAAAACAAAACAAAACCAAAAAAATGATCTTCCTAAAGTCCAGGTCTGACTATGTCACATACACACCTCCCTATTAACTCATATGTAAAATCCCCTATTTGTCTTTCAAAACCCTTCATAAGCTGGTCCCCTCCTATCTTTCCAGTCTTCTTACACCTCACTTTCTCCTACATACTCTACAATCCAATGTCATTGGCCTCCTTGCACAAGACACCCCATCTCCGGACTCTGTGCATTTTCACTGGCTGTCTTCCATGCCTAGAGTTCTCCTCCTCCTTGTTTCTGCCTCCTGGCTTTTCTGACTTTCCCCAAGTTTCATCTAAAATCCCACCTTCTGCAAGCAGCCTTTGCTGGTTCCCCCTTAATGCTAATCCCTTCCACTTGAGATTCCTCCGATTGGCTCCATCTGTATCTTACACGTACAGGGTTTGCATGCATGTTGTTTCTCCCATTAGACTGTGAAATCTTTGACAGCAGGGACTGTTTTTGCCTTCCTTTGTATTCTCAGCACTTGGCATAGTTCCTTGAACATAGTGGGAACTTAATAAATGCTTGCTGACTAACTGGGTATCTTCAGAAAGGGGGAAACAGTAAGGGACTTGAAGGGAAAGGAGAAGGGAGGTCCTTTGGAGGAAGGAATAACCAATCATTACATCATCAATCAATAACAATCATCAAATACTAGAGGTGAACAGGACCTCAGAGGTCACAGTGAATCAGAATCATGGCACTGGCTGACTCCCTTTGTAGCTTTCTCCTCTCTTGCCTTCAGAGATGTCGCATTCTTGGTTATCTTCCCACCTCTTTAAGCATACTTCTGTTGCCCTATTTCACTGACTTCTCATTTTCTTCTTGAACAAATGAGACACCTGCTCAGAGGGAGCAGAACAGATGGACCCAGTGATTTCTAATATGGTTGTTGCCTGAAGGTATCCTCTGTCTTTGTCAATCTCATTTACTCAAAGGGCTTTAATCACTGCCTCTGTGGGGATGATGCCCAAATCAGATCTCCAGCTCTACCCGTTCTACTGAGCTCGAGGTCCTCATCTTCATCTCTCTGAAGGCCATCTCTACCTGCATGTCCCATCAACACCTGAAACATGCAGGTAGAGATAATGTCCCCAAAACCGAGCTCAATATTTCTCCTCTCACGCCTGCTTCTCCTCACCTCACCATTTTTCTTTGCATACTATTCACTCAGTTGCTTATGTTTGTAACTTTGGAGTTACTTGAACTATTTTCTCTCCCTAACCTCTCATAGCCAGTTAGTTACTAAGTATCATTTAGTTTCCCTTGGAATATCTGTCTCCCATCCCTTCCTCCTCACTCACCACCAATATCCTAGAATAAGCCTGAGTATGTGTCAGTTTTCCCTACTAAGCTGCATGACAGCAGAAGATGTGACTTAACCAGGGCAGAAGACAGAAATATTATTTCCTTCATTGGACCCAATGCCTCAGATTGTGCTAACATTTTGACTGCTATATTAATTTTATTGAGCTTGCAGTCCACTAAGACTCCCAGATCCTTTTCAGTGTTTAGTTTTTACCTTGTACTTGTGCGGATGATTTTTAACTGAAGTGCCAAGGCATATTTATTTCTATTATATTTCAACTAGAATCTATTTCTGTTATATTTCAACTGCTAATTTCAATTCATTCTCATTGTTCTATCCTGTAGTGATCACTTTGAAGCTTAATTCTTCTGTTGTCCAATATGTTAACTAGCTTTCCCATCTTTCTATCATCTGCAAAGGCACTAAACAGTCCCCTATGTCTTCATCCATGTCATTGACAGAAATTTTGTACAGAACATGGAGATTAAACTTCTAACCAAGTAAATAAAGAGTTTCTTAGGTCATGTTTCTGGCAAAAAAAGACACCTCCACCAGGTATCTAGAGAGTTGACATTCCCTATTATTACTCTATTTTGAAACTGCCAGTTTCATGATCTGTAGGCAGCTTGATGAAATGAAAAAGCACCATACTTATGTTAAGAAAATGTGTTTTCAAGATACTTTATTGCTGTATAACCTTGTAAGTATCATTTAATTTCTCCAAGCCTCTGGTCTTTTTTAGCTGCAAAGTGCGAATATCAATATTTGCAATGAGTATCTCTGACAGTCATTCTGAGGACAATACTCTAAAAACTTTAAATTACTGTAGGAATCTATTACTATTAGAAAAGTATCACCTATGGTCTCCATCTGGCCAGGCAGTTTGTAGTATATACTCTCATAAGAATAGCTCTTCTCTTTCTCTTTCCTTTTATTCTTATCTAAATTTTCTCCACCTAAAATTCCTTTCTTAGGTCCATGAATTTCCATGCAGATGTAGACTCTTGAATCAATTTTTTAAAAACTAGGTGTGATACTGCATTACAACATTCTAATTATGAGTTTCATCCCACCAAGACTACATAAGTCATATGCATTATTTATATCCTTGTACTAAAATGTCAAATTCACTCTCTTCATTACCCCTATTGTACATATTAGTGTATATATATATTAGGTCATGAGCCCTGTTCCTGACACTCTTCATAAGGGAGTTGGGGAGCAGAGGATATTCAAGCATGAAGGGAACTGCAAGTTGCTGAGTATCAGTACCTACATGGAGAAATTGGTGATAAAGGCTGTCTTGGGTATCTCCACCTGGAAGGTGGCCTCTTGGGCTCGGTCAGCCTTATTGACCACATGGCTGGTGATGGTGGTGTGGGCAAATCGTGATGTGATCCTGGAGTCCATGGTGAGACTGTAAATGTCAATGCCATCCTAGGGTATGAATGACACCAGAAGAAGGAGATGCAATGAAAGGATTTCTGGTAGTCTCTTCTCTGCTAGCCCTCAGTTCTCTCCCTACTGTGGGCAGTCCCCTGACTCTGCCAAGCCAATTACAAACCAATCAGTCTCTATGGGCATCAGGTAATAAACAGAGCAGTATAGAACATCTCCATTGCTAGGGAAATAGTTTAAAGTCTAGGGATGGGGGAGCAGGAATGGGAAGGTTGAGCTGTATTGGAAAAATCTGGGTTCTAGTCCTGGCTATGCTGACTTGTTTGGCAACTAGAGTCAAGTCATTTAATCTTTCCTGGCCTCTGTCTCTCACTTTTGAAGATAGGGAGAATGGAACTTATCCTAGTCTCTCACCAAGGGCTGATGGCAGCATAGGTAGGTGAAGGCTAGAAGTGTTTGGGGAGTGAGCACAAAGCCTTTGAAACCCCAAGACTTCTCCCCCTCTACCCTAGGGGAGTGCCATTCTCTTAACAGGGGAGCCAAGTCTTCATCAAATGTCCAGGGTTTATGCTAGAGCTGCTCCATTTCCCTAGGATAGATCTCCCTCCCCAATCCAAGGTCTATGACAGTTTTGTTCTGGCCTTCTGTAGAGACAACTCACCAAATTTGTGGGTTATTCAGGACTTCCCTCCACCCACTACTGCACACACACACACACACACACACACACACACACACACACACAATCACTACCATCAGTTCCCCTATCACACTCCCAGATCCCTGGTATATTCTATCTCGGCCCCCGGAATATTCATCCCAGATATACTCAGCAGTCCACATGCTCATACCCTTCTGTTTCCATATATGCACACAAATATACAAATGCATTTCCAAATATTTGTGTGATTATAAGCTCACAAATACGCGATCATTCATGCTCAGAAACACACACACAGGTACCTCCTGGGCAGCAACGGGGCTGAAGGAGGCCAGCAGGAGAAAGAGTAACAGGATATGGGCTAGAGCCTCCATCCTGGCTGTGTAGGGATAGGAGGGGCCAGAATTTAGAAGCTTCTATGAATTAGTAACTCTTCCTTCCTCCGTTCCCTCACCTAGTTCCATCCCTGACCCCAGGGGGTCTATTCCAGGAAGCTGGTCCCAAGGTGGTAGATATTTACTAACCAAATGCAATAGCTCAGGATAAGTGGCCAGGCTCCACCTCCCAGAGGGACTTTGATCTATTGAGAAACACCTCCCCCTCCTCCCCCCAGACAGGAAGGCTTGGAACAGACTCTGCAATGACAGTGGTCAGACCATGCTGTGCATTGACCTCCCTCTTCTCAGTCTTGTTTTCCAGGCCCCAGGCCTCTTTTTCAACTGCAGCACTCCAGCGAGGTCACACTGGGGTAGGAGAGAGAATGGCACAGGGAAGCAGGAGTAATGAGCTTGTAACACATTCTGAACGGAATAGTGTCAAGGTCAATTCAATTCAATACAAAAGTATTTGTAGCACTTGGGGGCAGCTCCCCAGCTTCCAAGGTCTCCTCCCCCAGAGGAGACTAGCTCAGGTTTGAAGTATTCTGTGGGTCTATATCTCCAACAATCACAGGTCAGGGCCCCCACCAATGTTTCTAATTTAATTGTCAGCCAGAAGACACAATCGGTTCAAAGCAAAGGTATTTAATTAATAATATAGTAATAAAGTAATAAAATCTACAGTAACATAGAGCAAGAAATCATAAAATATTTTCCCCATAAACACAAGGCAAGCTCTCTCACAAATATACACACCATCGATGGGAAGATATAAGAAACATGTGCAGAAGGGACACTTAGGGAATAAGGAACATGTGTGGCCAATGTGCATTTATGGGGGCAATTCTCATCTCTGGTGGGGTAGCATCACCAACATCTTGTGGTGATATCTTCATTCTCTTCCCTCTTGGTGCACTGTCTCCACCAGGTGCTGTTTCACTGTAGATGAAGCTTGTGCTAGAGTTTCCAGTGACTACGGGGTCTCTATCAGACACTGCCATGTACAGCCCCACTGAATACCCGCCTGCAGAACTCTGCTTTTAGTTTCTGACTTTAGTTAAAGGCCTTGGCTTAATGCTATGTCTTCCTCATAGAAAGAGTGGACTCTATTGTGCTTTTTTAGGTTCAAAGCCTTGTGTCTTTTTTAAAGTTTCTTTTGAAAAATTAGCATCCCCTTCCTCCACCAGAGCATCAGCAACAGAACAGAGCAGAAGAGGATGAAGCAACTTCTTTGATTTTTTCCCTAAGAGGTGACCTGTGCTGTTCCCATCAAAGGCTTGGCTATAGCCCCTCATTTTCAAGAGCAGATTCTTTGCTACAGGCATCAAGCTCTTTAGAACAAAGGGCAGAGATGTCCGTAGATAAACAGGTAGTTCTCTCAAGCAGAACTTCCTGGTCCAGGAACTTAGGTCTCTGTCAAAAATATTACTCTAGCTTATGATGAGCATTCTGTATGTCCCCTAATTTTAATCTTTGAAGACTAGACTATATCTAGTTATCCCCTGTGTAGAAGCTACTTTCTCCCCCAAATTTCCAAGGGCTTTTGGTCACCATAGTCCCAGGCATTTCCATGGGGTCAGACCTCACCACTTGCCTCCCCTCTTTTGGCTTTGCCCTGGGGCTTTCTCCAGGGGCCATCCCAGGTACCAGACTGGGCCACCCACCTGATATCCAAGCTTAGTCTTCACCCCAGGGCCTTTTCTAGCACTTCTTCAGGCATTCCTGGAACCACACTTCAGCTGCTAGTTTTCATTCAGGCTTGTGTCACAACCCCCTGCAAACCCACCTTGTACTGCCATGTCCTGTCTACCCACCAGAGTCCCACAGGCCATAATTCTGCCTGTTCCTGCATGCTCTGAGGTTGGCCTCCCAAGACACAACCTTGCCACCTGCCCATGAGGTTGGATTTTAAGGAAATACTTTAACAATCTGATCACTTGCCTCCTTCAGTAGACCTCACTCCATTCACTTATATTCCACTTGAACTCATTTCTCAAGGGCTAGCATGCTCCCATGCCCTTATATATTCCCAAATCCTAGTGACTCTATACTTACTATCTTTGAACAAACCCCATTCCCCATTTCCCAGCTGCCTCCTCCTTTATTCCAATACAACTCAACTTTTCTCCCCTACTCCAGATCTGCCTGTCCCTTCCACTATGTTCTCTGGAATGTCTGCTCCACAATTAACAAACTTATTTTCCTCCTAAATAATTTCCTTTCTCCCTCCTTCAGTCTTCTGGCGCTCACTGAGAACTGGTTTCCTTCTGAAGATATTGCATCCCTGCCCACCCTTTTCAGTAATCTTCCCCCCAACCCCCCTGACTCACTAGTCATGGTGAAAGACTTGGAAACTCTGCTTCTCATTGCCATTTCCAGACTCTCCCTCTACCACCATGACTCAGCAACCTCTCCTCTTTTGGTGCTCATCCAATTCAAATTTATCACCCAATCCAGATCCTGGTGGTTGTTACCTACTGACCTATGTGCATTCCCTCTTCTATCTCAATGAGTGTAGTGACTAGCTCACAGTCTTTCTGTCTCAATTCCTTCCCTCAGACTAGGGGATTTAATATGCATATTGATGCTCTCTCAAACACCTTTATCATTCTACTCAGTTTCCATGATCTTTTTATCCATTTCACCTCTGCTACATACACACCCTGGATCTTGCCATCACCCACAACTGTTCTACTTCCATGTTCATGAGCTCTAAAATTCCCTTATCTGATCATAATCTTTTATCGTTCCTACTTTCCCTATACCTTATGACCCCAACCCTCTTTTTCATCTTCACTGTAACCTCCATTTCTTCCATCCTTTCTCAAGCCATTATCTCTGAACTGACTGTACTCTCCACTCTTCCCTGTCTTGACCCCTTGGTGACTCAATAAAACTCTATGCTATACTCTTGAATCTTTTGCCCCCGTTGGAGGAACAACATCTTAACCCTTCCTTCCATGCAGGTTAGGCTAACTTTTCCTTAAAAGATAGTGAGATACTCCTCAAGACTTGGTGGGCTTTAAGGGGTCTAAGGGCTCAGACTGTTGATAACATTTCATGCAGGTTCTGACCTGCAGATAAAGTAGCCAAAGGACCTGGGGTGGGAGGATTGTTTTTAGAGATTTGGCTGGTGGATCACTACTGTGATATTGTTAACACAGGGAAGGAAACTAGCTGCTTTGATTGACTCAATTAGTATATGTTCAATGCCTATTCTTGTGGAATATCATTCTTTTCTGGCCAAGTAAAGCTCCCTTTGTTAAGCACCAATGACTTAGTGAATGTCTCATAAACTACCAGGGAGATGGCCTGAGTCAGACCCAGACCAGGACACCTTTTCATACCATCAATCATGCTTTCCCTAATCCCAACCCTGGACATTTCCACCATCCACCTCTTTTGCTCCTACTCATACACCACTGATTGGAGCTGGAGAAAATCAGAAAATTGTGCTCATTGAATCCACCATAAATTTATGTTACATAATCTCAACTGGTTTCTCACTGCAGCAAAGCAATTCTTCCACACCAGAGGTATCAAACATGTAAGCAACACTCCCAAGCACAGCCCTGATGATATAAAAATGTAATTGGGAAATACTTAAAAATAAATTTAAAAAACAATAAAATGTAGATAACATTACATTTTATTTTTTAACTTAATTTTTATTTCCAATTCCAAGTTCTATCCCTCCCTTGCCCATTGAAAAGGCAAGAACTATGATACCTATTATATAGATAAAGCCATTCAAAACCTATTTCTTCTTCCTTCATATAGATCCATTTCTATTTGAGTTTGACACCACTGTTCTACACCTCTTTAATTACTTGGGACCTCAAAGATCCAAGGATATATATAGCTGATCTGGGCCAAATGATTTGAATTCATAAAAGGCAACTGATGCTTTCTTACTGTAGCCTAACTTAACTTGGGTTTTAGTTCCACTTGTCATTTGATTGTTTCATTCTCAAAGTAAAAGGTTATTCTTTGCAGAGAAAACAAACACAATAACTGAGCAGGTCCACCTTCTCTCTGTGGCCAATTATCATCATCCTATCAACAGGTCTCATCCTTTCTTTGATTCTACTCTTTCTCTCAATATAGCTTGAAAAAACATCTTTTTTATTGACTTTAGCTCACCTTATCAGTCTTAACTCATTCTAGAATTAACATTCCTACTTTAATAGAGTGTGGCCATGCCACACCCCTATGTTCATCTTCTGTTACCCAGCTTTGTTTCCTTCCTCTGTACATTTCTTTTGAAAATTGAAATTGATAAGTTCCTTGTGCATCCACAACATCCTCTTCAGACAAAGCCTATTTTCCCTCTTCATTGGAATTGTTTCCTTTTGTGTCTTCAGAAATTTTTTTCTTGAGCACTTCTCATTCATCTTGGGCTGACTCCCTCTGAAATATATGGAATCCTACTTATTTTTCCTCCAAACCCTTTGGAATCTACTTTCACAGTATCTAGGGGACATAAAAGACTGCAGATATTTCCTCTACTTCTCTATTACAACCTGTAGGAAAGAGTGTTCACTTCCCCTCAAAGTTCTCAACATTTCAATTATAACCACCAAATCCATCCTGTGTCCAAGAATAAGATCAAGAATATAGTTTCCCCTTGTTGGTTATACTACCTTTTGAAGGATGAAATGATTATTAAGGCAAGCCAAGAAGTTGTTAATTGCTCTGCTTTTGGCACAGACAGAACTCCAGCACATGTCTGAGTACTTGAAGTCTCCTATTACTACTATATCATGCCTCTGCACCAGATTTATCATCTCTTTCCCAAACTTCTCATCTAGTTCCTCTTTCTGTTCAAGTCTTACAATATACTTTGATAACTAAACCATTTCTGTTTCTCCCTCCTTTGATCTTTACCCAAACACTTTCCACGATGTTTCCTTCATCTGATTCCTGGATTTCTTCACATGAGTATTATACCTTATCAATATATAATGATAACCCACTGTCCAACCCCCTTTACATATCATGTTTCTCTTGAATAAGATATATCCATCCAGAGTCATAGTCTTGTTTGTTGTCTAAATTTTGGGCATTTGTGTAGA